AACCTTACCGTACTTGTATTCCGTACTAGTTTACTTTCTATTTTTTTTTTTTTTTTTTTTAATTTTTTTTCTCGATATCTGAAGTTCAGCTTATCGTGCTAATAATTAATTTTATATATCCGAAACGCGTGCATTCTATTTTTATTTAATCCTTGAGAAAACCGGAAACTTTTTTTTGTAAGATGTCACGTAACTAATAAAAGATGCTTCATTGCTATAATTCTGTTGTTCTTCTCTGATGCAATTTTCTATAATTTTCCTCGTAGTATTACTCATCACTTCTAACCGAGCTGCAATATGGCTCTTATCTGCTTACAATTATCATAGGTCCTTTATCTGCCGCATTTTGAAGTATTGAGTGCTCTCGATATTATTTCAACGAATATCGTTGCTCCCCGGATGTATAATCCAGCTTCCGAGATGTTTAATCGCAATTTATCGATCATTCAATCAAGTTCCATTACTGCGTTGTGTAATATCGTTAACCCGTGGGAACTTCAAATTGGGTCATTGAGATTTATGTTATGTTATTAAAGGAAGTTATATTGTTAATTTTAACATTTTGTTCCAAATCCAGACAAAGATAATTTAGAAAAATTAGGAAATTTAGATGTTTCTTCAATTTCATAAAAATCGTGGAAAGTAAAACTAGGTGGCTGAGAAAAAGTGCTCAACATCTTAGAATTACAGTGAACTCTCGATCTCTCAGAGACGAACAGTTTATAAGTTGTTAATCAAACGTTTTACGTCGAGATAATATAAATCATCACGTTCGATCGTAAATTTCAATAGTTGCATCGTATGAAAATGCTCCGTCGAAATCAGAAGGCTTTTCTCTACTGTGAACTGTTTGGACTTTCAGAGGAGGACGAATCGCAGATCTTCGTCAAATTCTTCAAGTTCCACAAATGCTACGACCTAATACCGACCAGCGCCAAGCTGGTCGTCTTCGACACTCATCTACTCGTTAAAAGGCCTTCTTCGCTCTCGTCTATAATGGTAAGTTTAATCGAGAGAGAGAGAGAGAGAGAGAGAGAGAGAGAGAGAGAG